TGGGATCTTGCCGAGTGTCACCTCCTCACACGAGATCTCATTGGTGGTCACCTTCTCGGACTGAGATCTCACCGATCGCCGCCTCGCTCATGGGATCTCACCAGGCGCTGGATTCCGCCTCCTCATGGTAGGGGCTCTGAGGCACGCGAGCTCCACTAGGGTGGGGGGCGCTAGGAGGAGGGAAGGGGATGGGGTGCCGCCATTAGGGTATGGGAGGGAGGCGTGGGACTAGGAGAGCGGGGGTTGCTGCTCGTGGAAGGGAAGGGGAGGAGGAGAGAGGGCATGCCTGGGAGGAGAGGGCGCGCTTGGGGAGGGCTTGAGGGGAGGGTGAGTTGCAGTGGCAATGAAACCCTAGCTCTCGGTTATATACAATCGAAGTAATCGGGCCGATGTCGGGGCCATGACTTACTGAGGCGGTTATTTTACAATGCCCGCCTCGGTTAATGACTTACCGAGGTGGTTGTATTAGAATGCCCACCTTGGTTAATACTTATTAGCCGAGGCGGTTATTTTATAATGTCCGCCTTGGTTAATGATTTACCGAGGATTCTTGGCTTTCGCCCAGCCGCTCGCCTCGAATAACCGAGGCGGGCAAGCTGGTCGCCCACCTCGAGGCCATTTTGGAAATGTTGCATAAAAGATTTTTGTGTAGTAGTGGATCTAAGTTCTTCAAGAAAACCTTAATATTCTAATTCTTATCCATTCTTACATGTCTTAGCTTCTATGCTTGATATTTAGCAGCTTCATGCATGCTCTACTTCATAGTTGTGATATGTTATCACGATCCTTCTAGAAGTGTAAAATATGCAAGTCATATATCCTGATTTATAAAGTTGTCTAAAACTTCTAACTCAATTTCTATTTGAGTAATTTCTGATGGTAAATTCAAATACTTCATGTATTACATTGCTCTTTGATATTGTATACACAAAAGACATTTCTTTGAGAATATACGTTGATGAAATCATATTTACCATCTTGTCTTCTAGACATATAATACAAAGCTTCAAGCTATTGTTTATAGAGCAGTATTATACCTCTATCTATCGGCATACAAGCTTGAAAATTCGACTTTCAATGCAATATGATATTCTATAATCATAATTTGAGATTTTTCGTGAGTCCCACAATGCTTTTGTAATTCGAGGATATTTTTGTTCCTTTAAGACATGCATTTAACATAAAAGCTGGACCATGTGCATATAAGTTTACTACATGTAAACAAGTAGCAAAATGCAAAAAGATAGTGGATGGTTATGCAAAATATTCTTAAAAGTATCTTAGCATTTTTCAAGATTATGGTATATACAAATTTTAGAATTAATACCAAGCATTTATTCATTCCAAGAATTCATTATGCTAGGAAAAACAAATATGAGCATCTCAAAAGATGATGGGTCTAAGGTCTGCAAGATTTAGAGAGCTCATAAATCTTATACCATGTTTCTAGCGTAATCATTCAAGATTTTGTACTTGCAATTACATGATATATATATAATTCATAATATGTGATAAATAAATGCCTTTAAATGAGCATAAAAATATCAATACATGATATAGATATACGAACATAAATGAAAGTATCTAGGCCCCTAGTTGGGTTTGGGTGATTAATAACGACACGAGATTACTATGACTAACGTGTGTTTTGCATAGGCAATTTGAGTTAGATCATGGTAATGGCAATTGATTGGGCAATCATAGTTGTCATGCCCTCGACGATGAAAATCGTTTGAGTTTTCAAAGGATGGAATCGACAAGGTTAAGGGGCGGACTAGTTCTAAGTGTCGTTTGGCATTGGAGAGACACTTATAGTAGTTTAGAACTTTGTTTTTTCTTTGGCCATACTATTAAGGGGGGTATAGACTAGTAGCTTGACCTAGGTGAGTCTAGTGGGTTAGGTGTGGTGTACACTTGTCAAAACTAGCACTAGGTAGCTCAGGAATAGCCCTAAGATCAATTGGAGTAAACTTCATTCACATAGGATTTCAAGATGAAAGTGAATGGAGGGTCAAATGATTGACCGGATCTTTGATGCAGTTGTCACTTGAATTTGGAGGGTGAGTCCGGTCAGCTCATTTGATCAACGAAGTCGTCTGTCTTGACCGGATATTTGAGTGAAAGTGGACCGGATGCTGGGTTCCTGCGTCTGGTCAACTCCAGAGAGGTTCCAGGGCCTGTTCGCTTGAACTACTTTTTAGTCAAGTCAACTGTTTTCAGCTTATTCTCCCTCACAGAATACTATTAAATCAGCCAAAACCAGCCGCCTTAACGACCAGCCGAACAAGCCCCAGAGAGGGATTTTCTTGACCGGACGCGTCCGGTCGGTGCTGACCGGATGCTGGTTAGGATCCGGTAACTGACCGGACGCTAAACAGTGAAGTGACCGGACTCTAGGTGCCAGCGTTCGGTCAACATCAGTAAGGTTCCAAAGAGCATTTTTCTTGCCCGGACGCTGGTCAGAGTCCGATCATAACTTAACGGCTCTTTTCGACATAGTGGCGAGAGAGATAAGCGATCAAGGCGTCCGGTCACCCGACCGAGCGTCCGGTCACCTGACCGGGCGTCTGGTTACCCCTACAGTGATGACTCGACTTCAAAATGTTATGTTTTGAATGAGGGGTATAAATACACCTCCACTCGTCAAGGAAGGTCTCTTGTTTATTTGTTCAAGCTGAGGAAACACCTTGAGAGTGTAAGGAAGAGCAAGAGCCTAGTGAGGTGATTGAGATTTGAGAATCCAATATTAATGTCCTCATTAGTGCAAGGAGAGTAGCAAGTGTGCATCCACCCTTCTCATTAGGCTTGTCGTGGTCAAGTTAGAGTTTGTGCTTGTTACTCTTGGTGATCGCCATCATCTAGACGGCTCGATGGTGATTGGGAGCTTGGTGATCATTCGGCGGAGCTTGAGGATAACCCAACTCAAGTTGTGAGCGGTTGTGGGTGATTCACTGCAACGGAGTGTCGAAGAATCAGTCCATAGAGAGCACTTGATCCTTGTGTGGATCAAGGGGTGCTACACCCTTGCGCAGGTGCTTCAACGAGGACTAGTGGGGAGTGGCGACTCTCCGATACCTTGGGAAAATATCGCTGCATTCCTTTCTCTCTCTTTACTTTAAGCATTTACATTTGAACAATTCATTTCATATCTTTACATTCCTAGAATTGACATGCTGGAGTAGGATTAGAACTTAGGGTGTAAAACTTTTGTGTGGTAGAATAATATAAACACATTCTAGGCACAAAGAGTGAAGTGGGCTAAGTGTATGACTTAATTATTGCAAAGAATTTAGAATTAATCTAATTCACCTTCTCTTAGACATCTTGATTCTTTCAATAAACAAATACTATAAATCTGTAATTTCCAAAAATATAGGACCTATTCTTCAAGAATATAAGACCTACACATAGAATCTTCGGGATTCAGAGGCCAACCGTAAAATTTCAGATTAATACGGCATTTCTTCTTCTTTTCTTTATTTAAGCCGTGCCGCCTGAGGTCGAAAGTCTTTTGCTATTTTTTTTTTCTGTTTTTCTCACCCAGGCCCGTCACGTGAGGACATTGAATCCTAACAACCTAGTCTCCTTTCATGTGTTGGCTCAACCACGGCTCTTTCGGTTCTACCTTTTCAGCTATAAATTAGCTTTTCTTCATAATAAATTAGTCTACAATCAGTCGTAGCCAACGATAAATCCTGATACCAGCGGCGTGCAGGCCTCCTGACGACGACTTCTTCGATCCGGCCTATACAGAGCGAGGAAGACTACCAGCCTCGAGGAAGCGACGTGTCTGGATAGCACCTGCGGTGGGTGGCCCACAATCTGCAGTTCGTGATGGGCTGATGACCACCGTACTTCTGGTCCGACGAGGAAAAAAAAGGCGTGTTTAGCTAGCTACATGCTGATGCCACGGTTCCACTACTACAGACGTGGATTTGCATATGGCGTAGCGTGCAGGCCACGTAGCCGGGGCGCCAGTACGTGGCAGCGGCTTCAAGCCGAGATGGCCCATGAACCATGCAGGTCACTGGGTGGATTAGGATCACAATCACAACATGGAAGGTGTCTGGGCATCCGGGTCCAAAACAATTCCTGCTGTGCACGGGGCCATGCATGTGCGGCGACGTGGACACGTGGTCTGGTGCATACTGGCATGCAAGTCAATAATAATTTAATAAATACGCAGATATTACCGTATACTTTCACAGATTCAACTCATGTAGATTCAATTACTATATGTATATACTTCGAGTATATGCACTTCATATATAATTCTACGTGCATAGAATATATAGACCTGCTCGATGTCCGGCACAAACAATCTGGAAGACGTGTTTCGTACGTCGTAGAGGATGCCAATTTAATTTACGCCATATGTCGCGTAGGACCGTGATTAGTAGATACATACTGCGTAGAGCGTTTATCATTATCGTAGATTTGCCTGCTTGACAGCGATGGTGCATGTCGATGTAGTTCATATCGGCAGCAGGTAGAGATAGCATATCCGTTCCGCTAACAACATCGTTGATGTCGACGTCGTTAAAGTAGTCGCCGTGAGATGTCGGCACAAGCATCGGCGTTGAAGATCGGCGGCAGCTTCAACGACGATGTCGACGTAGAGCTTGTCGTGCTGATAACGTGTTATAAAACATGTCACCAATGGTTAGGACATTTTCCTCTCCGCCTCTCATGATCACCACAACATATGAAAGTAGAAGAACAAATAGACACAAGATAAGGAGACTATTCTTTATTCCTCTGATTATTGGTGATTAAAACATAGCTCCCACATATATATATAGTCTACCATGGCCTAAAAATTTTATAAGAGCCCACATATAAATAAAGTAAGATTAGAATTCCACCTTCTCCTTTCCTTGTAAGCATATGTTTTACAACAACCAAGTATACCGTTTTGTTCGTAAGAGATTGTTCCAGTAAGTAAAGCCAAATGGTCTCTCGATTGTGTCACGGGTCCCCTCAAAAAAGAGACGGTGTCAATGGCTGTACTTTTTCATTTTCAAACTCATGGGCTGGGTGCCCACAGTGGTAACTAGAGTTATAGGTTCGTAAGGACTGTTCTAATAAGTACCACCAAACGGCCCCTCGTGTCATGGGCTTTACCATTTCGTTTTTCAAGCTCATGGGCCGTAGCCCATCAGCTCCAGCCCAGAATTGCAAAACTATTTCGTCCGAAAACCTGCATTTTGCTATGGAAAAAGTCCATTTACCTCCCAACTATCCTCAAAGTCTAGTTTTCCTCCCTAAACTACAAAAACCGGATAAACCACCTCGCTTAACTTTTTAAAACCGTTCATTTTACCTCTCCGACCCGAGTTCTGGTGGTTTTCAAATGCGGTTTTGTCTTTTTCTTTTTATTTATTTGGCTAAATTTTTGAAAAATCATAGTAAATCACGAAAAAATAATAAAATGAAAATATAATTTTCTTAGACTCCACATAAGTAGATCTACACAGTGAATATATAATATGTTATGCTTTAGCATAAACTTTTTGCTGTATCTTTAAATCTATATTTTTCTGTAATTAATCCAAAGCTGTAGTTTATATGGTCCAATTGTGGTGAAATTTTTATGATGGGCTAATTATCATATGATTGAATTGTAGTAAAAATTTCATGCTCATTGGATCATGGATAACCGAGTTATAGATTTATTTAGTTTTATGCTTGTTAAATAGTTTAAAAATAGTTAAAAGTGTGTAAAAATAGAAATGAGTATAAAATTTTTACTACAGTTAAAACATACAATAATTATACCACCATAAAAAATTCACCATAATTGAACCATAGAAACTACAGTTATGAATTAATTAAAAAAACATAGATCTAAAGCTACAACAAAAACTTTATATTAAAGCATACCATATTATATGTTTATTGTATAGATCTACTCATGTTGAGTCCAGTGGCGGAGCTAGAGAAAATTTAAGAGGTGCGCTAGTCTTGTGGGTGCATAGATTTTTACAATATAGGTGCGTATATGGTGGAAAATTAAACATAATCATTGTTTTTCTGATTTTTTGTGGGTGCGGGCGCACCCCTTGCCATGAACATACATCCTCATATGGTTGAGTCTAGCAAAATTAGATTTTCTATTTTATGATTTTTCTATGATTTACTATGATTTTTTAAATATTCAGCTGAAATAAATAAAAAAGAAAAAGACAAAACCGTCTTTGAAAACAACCTATAACCGGGTCACGGATGTAAAATGAATAGTTTTAAAAGTTGATGGAGCTAATATATCCGGTTTTCACGTTCAGGGAGGAAAACTAAATTTTAAAGATAGTTTAAGAGGTAAAATAAACTTTTTCATATTGCGCACAACCAGCCCTTTTCGCACGCCACGGCCTAAGGCCCACGGCCCGGACGGAGACGGTCAAAATAAAAGGGCACCAAAAAATGGAAAAAGGAAAAAAAACGAGACGGCCAAGCCCCAACCCCAAACCCCGGCCCCAGCCGCCAGACCATCTCGACACGCGGCCGCCGCAGACGAGATGGCCGCCGGGGACGCAGGCCGCGCGCCGACGGCAGCGGCCGCGCAATCGCTGGTGGAGTCCTTCTGCGGCGTGACCTCCGCGACCCCCAGGAGGCGGCCTTCTACCTCGAGAGCCACAACTGGGCCTGGAATCCGCCGTCCGCTCCTACTACGACTCCGCGGACGGCGAACCCGACGCCGGCGCCGCCGATCCAGTGCCCCCGCCACCAGATGCACCAGCCGGAGGTGGGGAGGACACCGAGGATGAGGATTACGTGGTCGGCGGCGGCGGCGGCGACGAGGACGAGGATGATGAGGACTACGTCGATGGCGACGACGGCGACGATGAGGACGCCGCGCTCGCCGCTGAGGCCGTGGCGGAAGAGGAGAGGAGGAGGCCTGTGAAGAAGCAGAAGAGAAGCCACGACACGCGGGGTGGGAGCGGTAGCAGAAGCGGCAGCAGGGCCAGGGCGGGTGGTGCGAGTGCGCGGGGAATGTGAGGACGCTCTCCGATCTCGGTGGTGGCAAGGGAACCGCGGGGACCGACGAGAACTCCGAAGACGACGATGAATGGGCACCACCGCCCGAGTACTTCACTGGCGGCGAGTGAAGGTGATCTATAATCTCTAGGGTTGGGATAGTTGTCTCCTTCCCAACTAGATCGAGATACTCATCTCTAGGGTTTTAGATTGTCTTGTTTAAGTTCAAAATGGGTTTCTGGTGGGATGATGCTATAATTAAATGTGCTTTCTGTTGGGATGATGCTATAATTAAATGTGCTTGAAGTGGGGAAGCCTTCGTGTTTCTGATTAATCCCCATTTGCTGCATTTAAATCTGACTCATACTCTGCTCAATGGAGGTGTTTTGATCTCTAGTTCCTCTAGATTGCTTGATTTGTTCTTCATCTCTAGTTCCTCTATATTGCTTGATTTGTTCTTCAACATTAATAACGCTAGCCATTAGCCACAAATAAACAATGCAGACCATGTTGTAGCACTTTTGATAATGATGCAATGACCTTCCATAGACTAGGAGTTTATGTTATTATGATAAGGTGCTAGACATTATGCTTGGTACTGTTATGGAGGGCTATGTGTTGGTTTTGACTTTTCAAGTTTATAATCATGAGAAAAGAGGTCCAAAACTTGGGTATCTAGCCTGTATCTAACAATATGTCAAATTTTAGAGTTGCTTAGGCTTTCTATGCAGCAATCAGAAGCCACTGGTTTACCCTAGCTAGAAAAACCTAAGAGTAAATTATTTGTGAAGGGTAACATTTCTTAAAATTTGATGGGAACACATAGCAGGATCTCATTGTTCTTAGCAGTAGACTAGAGTTCTGAAATCATTCGCCTGTTTGGAACGCAGGAATCGAAAACACGGGAATAGGAAAAAATGCAGGAATGGGGTGAGTGTGTAGTGGTAAAACAGAGGAAAGGAAAAACGCGGGAAATAACTAGAAGGGGTGTTTGGAACGCAGGAATTCATAACACCGGAAAAACGCAGGAAGTAACATTATTTTTTTTCTCTTCTCTTGCTGTCTCGGTCTTCGTGAATCCATTGGTTTGGACTGCATGTTTTGTTTCCCGTGAAGGGCCTGTTTGAATCTGGGATTTTTTCCCCATTCCTGCGTTTTTTGTGAATTTTCTGGATGATTCTTGTTTCAAACAGTGAAATGAATGGAGGTAGGAAACTTTCCTTTGTTTTACTGTTGAAGTTTCCTTCATTCCAAACAGCATTTCTAGAAACCTTTCCAAAGGAATGGATTCTATGAATTTCCTATGAAATTCCTTTAATCCAAACAAGGCCTCAAGTGAGGGGTCAGAGGCTAGATTAGCACCCTGCTTCACCTGGAAGCAAAGGAGACCGGGGTTTGAACTGAACTCCAGCTGGCCGTCCCACAACTCTATCAAGGGTGCGACCAGCTGAACTCGAGGCCAACTGAAATAGAATTTCTTGTCCTGATTCTTGACATCTAACCTCCGTTTAGCATTGGGGTGGATTATGATAATCTTGTTTGGTACAGCTGCTTTTAGATATTTAAGACTTGTGTTCCTTTTAATCTAGGTTGCAAATGAAGATATCAATGTGTATTAGATTACCCAAGTTGACCCCAGTGAGGACCAACAATTGTATGATTATAGAACTTACCCTAATATAATTGTCTGAACTTACTTTTGGACTTTCCAACAACAAAGCCTGTCAGTCCCAAGCAAGTTGGGGTAGGCTAGAGTTGAAACCCACCAAGAGCCCCTAGTCATGTACAGCACAGGGCAGCTACTGCAATGATGTCCATAGTATGATATGTTCATGAAATCCTGGTAGTTTAGGTACTAAGTAGTTAAGAATGATAACATGTTTTGGATCTTTAAAATGCATGCCTTCATTGTTGTAAAAGAGTTAGGTGATAGGCGAGTGGCAGGGCACCACCTGCAGCCTGACAAGTGTTTAGGTGGGCTAGGGCTTGGCAGAAATTAGCTCCCACGAAGACGATGGCATGTGGCGCATAAGTGGGGCTCTTAAATGACTTGTTAACAGATTAAAGCGATGGCCTGAGCCAAAACCCCTGGAAACTTTTAGGATGACAACTAGTTACTGATGAAAACAGGTTGAATTGGTGAGCCCTGCTAACTGTTGAGCTTCTTGGTTGGCAATCTATTTTATGTGTTGCTGGTCAGTTATCAGGTTCAGGCATAGTTGATATCTTTCTGGTTGTACTTGTTTATATTTAACTCCTTAGTTTGGATCTTTTCTCCATTATCATATTAAAGCAAGAACGACATTTGAATTTTGAATGCTGATGGGTTCTTGGTTGCTCTGCAATCAGCCATTTTTTTGGGATCTATTTGAGTCGTGGAATTTAGCATTCTGCAATTAACTTATTAAAAATTGCATGTTGGGTGCTTGCCTCAGCTAAACAGGAGGAAGTTGGAATAGTCCTAGTTCTGTTGTAAGATAGTAACAACTTGTCAACCCCCACCCCTGACACTGTTACATTTTTTTTTTCTTTTGTTCAACTGTTTCCATATCATATCATGTCTTTTCTGAGAAAGATAAGTTCTATTCTTATCAACAGCATTACAACACCATTGAAGTTGGCAGGATCTCGTCTTTGCTTGCCACTTCTTGCATCGTTAAACTAACCAGGATTCCAGTTCTGACTTGCCCCATTGATTTGTACACTGTACAAATTTGGAAGCTGTAATGTAGAATCTTGTAGATGAAAGAGTGCAAGCATTGTCTGGTGGTGTTTGTTTTATCATGTACTGACTTTTTAGTCGCAGTTCTTTTTACTTTAATGTATATTGGCATGGGATCCATGCTTTTGATTCTTACACAAATTATATAGCAATGGTCGGTAATTTAATCATATGCTGTGCACCCTTGATATACCTGTAGTCATCTATATTTTATGCTTAATCTTTTCTTTTGTCTTCAGTGGAATGGTTGATCAATCAAAACGTAAAAACAACACGGATGAGGTATTCAAGCAAGCTAAAAGGAAGGGGCTAAGCAAGGTCTGTATGAGGCTCTTGGCGATCTAGTTCGAGGAACTTTACTGGGACTGGCAGACTTCTGACAGGTGAAACTATAGAGTGTGATGCACCACAGCCACCAGAAGAAATTGTCCATAACATCTACTTCTGGAGGAATGGCTTCACAGTAAACGATGGCCCACTTAGAAGTTTCGATGATCCAGCAAATGCATCCTTTTTAAAGGTAAAGAACTCTGTTCTGTACTACCGCGCCTATCACATTTCTGCTTTGCTATGCCTAATTTTATGTAAGGCACCACCACCTTTTCTTCAAACATATATATAGCTTGTTCACCCTTATTTTCAATCCAGAATGGTACTTCTAGTTAATGTTTTTGTCCTGTTGGCACATAGCCCAGTACAGTACGATGTGTCTCAGACTTTATATTGAACAATAGATTTCTGAGTAATTAATGAGTTAGAAGAATCAAGGGATCATATGGAACCGTATTTTCTTTTCACTTGGAACAAGTATTATTACTTCTCTGCTGGTTTTCATCATAATGATTTGCAACTGTTTTGTTTTTAGACTGGTCCCCTAATAATAATTATATGAATGGGGCAGGAGCTGTTTGGTAGGTGAGAGGGAAACTTTTAATAGCCAGTAGCCTCAAATTTCCCACAGGGGGGGCAGATTGTTTCTGTTTGAGAAATCTGTTTCTCAGCGAAGTCTTATTCACGCCTGAATTGGTATCTGGTCAGGAAATGTTAACTCAACCTAATTTAAAAATGGAAGTAACACTTTGACCTATATTTGTCAAGTTTTATGAACCAACCAATTCAGGCATAGGCCAAGGGATTAAGAAAATGCTTATTCTTATTGAGTTATATATACTTATGCACTTACCTCATATATGAAGGTTCCACCAGGTATTCAAAGTGGAGCGGAAGAAGGCCATGATATTTTTTTTTTCCTTAAAATTGCTTAAGTCGTGTTGTAAACTCGGGGCCTCGTGGCTCTGTACTAGACATAAAAGCCTTAAGTTGTAGACAGAAGGTAAGGTGTAGATGAAAGGTGGATAATGTAGGTTCCAACATCAATAAGATTTTTTTTTTGGTACATTGTCGTTTACTGTCTTTTATCGTGTCTTCTTGTATACTTGTTATCTATCTCCTTCGGTCTGTTGTTATTCTTAGCTCTTGTTTAGTTTGTGGCACTGCATGTTAGTTTCTTTATTCCCTCATATTCTTTTTACTAGAGCATCAAGGATTCTGTCTGCCCAACTGAGCTTGAGCCGGCTGATGGGAAATCTAAGGTGAATGTGAATCTTGTCCGGAAGGAAGAAGAATTTACTGTAAGTATGATTAGCTCGAAATGTTCACTTGCTTCAATTGTTCAAGCATCTAACCTTAACGGTATCTATCACTGCCTTGGTAACAGGAGCCAGTCAAGCGTGCTGCTCCTTTTGAAGGGGAACGAAGAACCCTCATGGAACCTTCTGATAATAATACTTCCAGTGCTGCTGCTCCCAGTAGTGTCACTGCTCCTCGGGCAATCACAGTGGACGATTCTTTGCCATCAACCTCCCTCCAAATCAGGTTCGCAGACGGCAGTCGCTTGGTTGCCCGTTTCAACACAAGCCACACGATTAGCGACGTGCGGGCATTTATCGACGCGACAAGGCCAGAAGCCAGCGATTACACGCTGCAGGCCGGGTTCCCCCCAAAGCCGCTTGAGGACGCGACCAAGACCATCGAGGAAGCCGGCGTGGCCAACTCGGTGATCATTCAGTCGGTCTAGCTCGGCAGAACAGGTGCCGACCCTATTCCATCAAACACGCTAGGCATCTGAAGCTATCACCTCCCTCCCTTGCCTTGCTGTTCCTTCATTTTGTTTCTCATCAAACCTGGCTTTTAACCTTCTATATGGCTTCGTCATCCAGTGGCTACTTCTGGTATTGGGAGTGTAAAACAGTGAGATCTGGGTGTCCCCATCTTATATTCATCTAAAGCATATAGTACAGTACGTATTACTTAGCCTGCTTGTCTCCTTCAGCGTTTGGTGGGTTAAAGTGTCCCTCTTGTTCTTATCTCATCCCCCCTGGTTGGTAGAATGTCGGCACTTGTGGACAACGTTGGTTGCACCAGATGGCCAATTCATTCCCTATTGCGGTTACTGATGTCCGGACGATTGCGATCTGCGAGGTGAGTTCTTTGTCCAGCTTTCATATGCTAACAAGTTATATGTCGTTGGCATTCCTTTCTTGGTGCTGCATAATGGGTCTGGTCGATGGCTAGTCTTTTCCAACGTTAAATAACTGCACATTCATGTGCTACATTTGGTTGGCCATGATTTGCGCTCCCATTCCAGTTGCGCGTTGCTATCTGGTGAGCTGAACGGTGAAAACCCCAGCGCCCATTCCGGCATTCCGTCCCGTAGATCCTTCCGTTTTCGTGCATTTCCTTTCCTTTCGTAGTCCAGTAGTTGCGACGTGGCTTTTCAAGCAGCAACGGTAGAGTGCGTCTCAGAGTGATCATCGCCCGTCAAGTAGGTGAGCGGTGAGCCTCGTCCGCTCCGCTCCGCTGCACCAGTTGTCCAGCCCTCAGCCCCCGCTGCAAAGAACCCAATGATTCGCGCGTCGTCGTCCCACGTCACTGTCGAGTGTGGAGCGTGGAGTGTGGACTATAGACTGTGGTCACTGGTCAGGCAGGCATCATGGTCATGGCGTCCCATCCGGAATCCTGGATCGCGGCTTTAGCCTTGTCGCTTGATGATGCGTTGGCCGCGCCGAGCGATTCCTCCCCTTTCCGTACGTGCCCAAGGCCGCGCGCGACACCCGGCCGCCCATGATGTGAGACTTTGGAGACCGCCGAGCGCCGACAAAACAGACGCGCGGACGGAATGATGAGTTCAGCTCTAAAACTGGCTGCTAGCGCACTGAATCGAGAGTAAACGACGCCGGAACGCGAGGGAACGCCACATGCCGTGGCTGGCCGCGCACCCGTCTGGATCAGCGGGGGCGAACTGGGAGAATGGGCGAATGAATGGCCGCGGGCAGCTGGCTCATTACACGGGCACAGTGCAGGACAAACCGGGAGCTCGCTTTGCTTGGCGCTGCGTTCTTTCTCGAGTGTCTTTGGCAGCAGGCTCCTTGTCCTTGGGAGGGGCCCTACCTGTCACGGGCAGCAGGGCCACCCAAGTCACGGGCGCTCGATTACCTTGCTTAAGTGGTGAGCTGATTGGTGCACCGGGATTAAGCGTCGGCGTCAGATTTCCCTCGGCACATGCCATGTCTAGCAGGACGTGCACGAGGCTTTGCCACCACTTGCTGCTATGATTCCAACTTTCGACGAGCTAGTTAGTAGCAGAGCCTGGTATAAAACAGACTGATGGAATCGAGTTTGTATTATGCAGGAGTACTCCGTAGAAGGGAGTACTCAAGTGCAGTACCAACATGTTCCACAAGGTGAGGTGGAGTCAAACTCATCTGGATCTTTTAGACAGCAACTAGACGTTTGAACGTACACTACCTGTACTGCTAGCCAGGATTAGCTGCGTTCGCCTGTTCGTTCGTTCGTATCAGCTATCCGCTGCCTGCGAAGACGAAGAGGTGTCGGTTTGTCTTTGCCCCCCATGATGAACATGAACCAACTTTTGGGGGTGCTGGAGCCTACTAGAGCGGACCCAGCATGCTTGACTAATGGTTTTTCTGATGTTCCACCCAACGAATAATCAATAATCCGGCACCCGTCATTCCGATCGCCCACTTTTTCGAGTTGTTTAGAGCTCGCCATCGTCCGTCCTCAGCACCAGCGCATCCATGCACGAGCAGCGATGCGAGACCCCGGTCGCACTCCACATTTGGTAGTAGTGACAATCACGCCGTCCGTCCTCTCCATTCTCTTCCCTTCTCCCAGCTGCATTTACATACATCCGCCCCCACGCTGTACCCACACCACACACACACACACACTGCGGCCAGCGGCACAGCAGAGAGAGAGAGAGAGAGAGAGAGAGAGAGAGAGAGAGAGGAATTAAGCTTTGCCGACACCCCACCGCATTCCCTCGGCTGCCTGAAGCAAGCAAGCGACCGCTTCTTCCCAGGCCCCGCGCGTGTGTCTGAGCTGTCGCTGATGGATGGATGATAGATAAAGCTGTGGAGCAAGGGGAGGGGGAGGTGCTGCCCATGGTGAGCATCGCCTTGGCCGTGTAGAGGAGCACTGCAGCCGGAAGAGATTTTTTAGATAGAGCGATAGTAGGCAGGCAGGATGAAGTCAAGAACTGCGACGCCGGCGGCAGGCCTCCTCCTCCTCGTCGCGCTTGTGGCGGTGGCGGAAGCCGACACCGACGCCGGCGATGGTAATGCAGTTTTAGCAAGACCGCACCGCCTTACCCGGGCTCGGCGTTCTTGGTCTCCTGAAATGTGTTTCAGCAGCTAAGCTATGCCTGTGTGAAGTGTGATCGGTGCTCTGGTTGTTCTTGCATGCAGTTGCGGCCTTGGGGAATCTCTACAGCTCCTGGAACAGCCCGGCGCAGCTCACCGGGTGGTCTGCCAGCGGCGGCGACCCTGCGGCGCCGCGTGGACGGGTGTCTCCTGCTCGGGCTCCGCCGTCACCTCAATGTATGTAGAAGAGATTCTCAGTTTCTCACGCACCAAATCTACACTTTCTAGCGATGAAAACGACAAGATATTCAGTCTGTCACATTGAGCCGTGATTCTAGGAAACGTCGGTGTTTACTCTTTTCTTCCCCCACTTCACTCCGGCTCCTTAAAAAAAGGGCACAGAAAGTCTCTGATGAATTATCTGAACCTTTTTCTCTCATGCTGCTTGCTGAAAAGTTTGTTAGTGGTGCCTAGCATTTACAAGTACATCCATCCACTGCTGCTGCTGCCCTGCTTTTCCACCAAAAAATGGGTCACCACTGCTGTTATGGCCAAACGCATATTATAATAACGATCAGCACACACTGCTGGTCCTGGAGATAATATATAGATATAACGCACTGCTTTTTCATGCTTGCTATGATGAGAGATATGGTCATACATTGTGTTGTTATGCTCCGGTAAGAGAGTAAATGTTGTTCCGCATAATTTTGTAACTGAAATTCATAGTTTTTTAACCAAAATTGCCCTTGACAGTATCTTGTCATATGTGTTGTTATTTGTTAAGCTATTCAAATCTGGTTTAGTATACAGATAAAGTTTGCAGAGTAGAAATATTTCCTTCAAAATGCATGTGGACCTTATCATTTTCATTTTTCTGTTTACAATCACGGCTATATGAATTTACCTGTTAACTGAAGTATTCTGTCTCTTTCCACGCTTTGCAGCAAGCTTTCTGGTATGGAGCTGAATGGTACTCTTGGTTATCAATTGTCAAGTCTACAGGCTCTGAAAACAATGTAGGAGCTAACACTTGATTATAGTTGTTCAGTTTTCGTGTCCTTTTCGTAATTTATATCTTCGGTTTCTAAACTTGCAGGGACTTAAGCAACAACTACTTGCATGATGCAATTCCTTACCAGTTGCCATCAAACCTTACCTATCTGTAATGCCTCCCAACCTGTACATGTTTATTCATGCTATTTGATTCTTGAAATTTGATTCAAAGCGAACGCAGGAATTTGGCAAAAAATAACTTCTCGGGTGATCTTCCGTACTCTATATCCAACTTGGTTTCACTTGAGTACCTGTAAGTTGCTGTCCATTGCAAAGATGTAATTCGTTCTGTGATGATCTTTTTAGTTAACACAATCTAAACTGCAATGAACCACTGTGTGCAGCAATCTCAGCCACAACTCGTTATTTCAGGAAATTGGTGAACTATTTGGAAGCCTCAATTCACTTTCAGAACTGTAAGGCCTACTGAGCCGTTTGTTTTCGTATGCAAACTTGACTTGAATATTGTGTGGTCGAAATTATTAATCATGCACATACTATTTCAGTATTGAATGTCCTCTTCATTAGAAAATAAGTGTAATTTTGAGCAACAACAAGAACAACAAAGCCTTTAAGTCCCAAACAAGTTGGAGTAAGCTAGAGTTGAAACCCAGCAGAAGCAATTAAGTTTCAGACACGTGAATAGCTGTCTTCCAAGCACTCCTATCTAAGGCTAAGTCTTTGGGTATATTCCATCCTTTTAAGTCTTCTTTTATTGCCTCTATCCAAGTCAACTTCAGTCTTTCTCTGCCTCTCTTCACGTTACTATCCTGGCTTAGGATTCCACTACGCTTACCGGTGCTTTTTGAAGGTCTTCGTTGGACATGTCCAAACCATCTCAACCGGTGTTGGACAAGCTTTTCTTCAATTGGTGCTACCCCTAATCTATCACGTATATCATCGTTCCGAACTCGATCCCTTCTTGTATGACCGCAAATCCAACGCAATATATGCATTTCCGCGACACTTATCTGTTGAACATGTCGTCTTTTCGTAGGCCAACATTCTGCACCATACAACATAGCAGGTCTAATTGTCGTCCTATAAAACTTGCCTTTTAGGTTTTGTGGTACCCTTTTGTCACATAGGACACCAGATGCTTGCCGCCACTTCATACACCCTGCTTTGATTCTATGGCTAACATCTTCATCAATATCCCCGTCTCTCTGTAGCATTGATCCTAAATATCGAAAGGTATCCTTCCTAGGCACTATTTGACTTTTCAAACTAATATCTTCATCCTACTGAGTAGTAGTCCCGAAATCACATCTCATATACTCAGTTTTAGTTCTACCGAGTCTAAAACCTTTGGACTCCAAAGTCTCCCGCCATAACTCCAGTTTCTGATTCACTCCTGTCC